CTCTTATATTTGGAATGGAGTTATGCTGACTGGCTGATTTTTAAACTCTGGATCCATGAGATGGAAATTTTACCCATGGCAGAAAGCTAAAAATTCAGCCTGAGGCTAATGTTTCACTGCAGATTATTCTTCTCTGAGGCTACTGCTGCCACTTACACGGTAGTCTGAAAATTCAGATCTAAACTTTGGCAAACACATAGCTGGGACAAATAGAAAAACAATTAAAATATCTCATTTCATACAAGGCTTTTTTATTCTTCCTTTTTTTGTTTCTATTACTACTTCTAATCTACAATTTGCTGAGATCTTCATGGCTTTGTTAGGATTAAACTGCTTGTTCCTTGTGATAGGTATTCTTATCCCTATTTTATTTTGTTAGCCACACATCAGACAGACTGTTAGACTACTTGCCCCTTGAGATACCATACCGACATATCAGAGAGCAGTGCACAGTGACCAGTGTGCCTGAAGCCATGCGGACCTTAACACTGCTGTGCACAGCCTGGCTGCAGATCTAGAGAGAGATGGTCCAGCTCTGGCAGACTGGTACAGTCAATGCAGATCTCAAGGTATCTTTTTCGAACAGCCTATGTAAATACCACGATTGCATGGGGACAAAGGGTGCTCTTTCAGGTGAACATCACTGTAATGACAATGATAGCAAGTAGCTTAAAGACATAGCCACTGAGCAATGACCCTGACCTATTTTAATTGCAAGTCATCTGTGCTATCTACGTGATATCACGGCTACAGACTACCTGGTGATCAGATGTACTAGTGAAGTATACCTGGTAAAAAACAAAAGAAGATCTGGGAAGATAACAATTTATCCACAGAAAGCTGGCAGGACCTAGGTCTCCAAGTGATAAGTATTTTAGGAAGAAAAAATCCTAAGGATTTTCTTCAGTATCCTCATGTTACATTTAATTGCAACGACAGAAAAGTACTATGAAAATGTTTCATGGGAAATCACATAAAATTAAGTACAAATGGCAGCTCAGTACAGGTATTAGGTATTACCTCTTTGCAACACTCTCAGAGCTTTATTATTATTATTGTTCTTGTTGTTATTATTATTTTTACTATTATTAACTTCAGCTGTTATTGAGTGTTCCATAATGGCCAAGGACTTCATTGTGATCCACCTTTGAGCATGCCTAGAAAACCACAGCCATCCAACTCAGCTACTCTGCTATGTTTATGAGCGTGGGCTTTGGATTGGACTCAATGGCACATGCAGTTAGAACTGCCATCACTGCAATACAAATGTAAAAAGCCCGGCATCCCTGAGAAATGGCTTCTACCAGTGTACAGCTTAATCGGTTTGTGCACAATAGCAGCAGCAGAAGCCCTATAGTTGGTCTTTTCTAGCCAAATCTACTGCAGGTCACAGTGCAAGGTTGATGGCTGTCCCTTGGCACTTATCCTCCTACACATGGCGCAATGAACAGAGCCTTAGCTCTGCCTGCTGCAATGCTCTGGAGGTTGCATGCTGATCTAATCCAGGGAGGTGAGGAAAGGAGAAAGACAAGGTTTCTATGCCAGCTGTTTGTCTGACACAACTTATTTCCCCAGTGGAGCAAGAGTGAAGAAGGAGTCAAACAGAAATGTGACAATGAGTCACAATTTGGTCCTTATTTTGTTGCTGAGAGCTATGCAACTGCACATTTCCTATTTCTCGGAGCAGATTGTAAGGAGACAGGCTAGCCCGGAGGCTATACACAGCCTGTCAGTGACAAAATCAAAATTAGCTTCTGGATTTCAGTCCTTTTCTCAGGCTATTTGATAAGTATGAAAAGTTTTAAGATGTAAAACGTTTCAAAAGGCAGATTTAACATGATCTGCATGCTTGAAGATTAATACAGATGAAACCGATAATGTATGAGAAATAATATACAAGAGCCAGAGGGTAAAATTATAAAGATTTTATGAGTGCAATGGCCAGAAGCTAACAGCAGTCTTCAGTAGGTAAAAGTTGAGCAAAGTCACACGATAGGCAGGAAGGAGTTTGGTACTTCTCATGGGAATTCATGAATTGCTGCTAGAAGTGCTAGTTCTGCTGACTACAAAAGGGGCCTGGGTGAATAAACTAGATTAGATGATTCATTTTGATGGCTGAAATCAGCTAAAGCATTTCCTAGTCTTCAGCTGTATTGTTGTTTAAATCTTGGGTTAGGAGGTTACTGCAGAATTTATTCAAACTAAATTTTGTAGTATGAAGGGGTGTTTTCTTTTAGCCTTTTTTTGGCTTCAAATGTTAATAGGGAAATAAATTGTACACCTTGATCCTGCAAAGGGTTAGGGAAGATGTGCCATTGGCACATGTTATTTTGGGCAATGATTTTTTGAAGGAGTTAGTCTCCTCTTGTTCGAAAGTATCTGGTCAAGTCAATGGCCTAATTATTTGGAGAGATGAAGTCAAAAAACCCAGGACTGCCCGTAATAAGGTAAATCTTTGAGAGGAACAGAAGCTGGAAATTCTCACTTAAATTCCATTAAACTTGGATTCCCCTGTGCCTGTGAAGTGGACACCTAAGCTGGTTAGTTTGACTTAATAGGTTCCCTCAAGGCTGGCCAGCATGTCTTAGCCTGTGCAGGCAAGCAAGCACAAGGTAAAACTTGTTAGCTTAAGTCTGAAGTTTAAAAATTTGGGGGCATTATTACTCACAGCTGGTACAATATCTACGCATGTTCAGATTGTACAGAGAAACTCCAAAATATCATTAGCTTATGCAGCACATTTGAAAGAAAGCTAGCTGTAGACAGCAGGGAGTCTTAAAACCTGTAAAGCAGAGGTTTAAGCTAGTATGTCGTGATGCTAGCCCATAATGAGCAAGAAGTGTGTGTGCACACAGTTCATTTGTGCACTTATTGTGTGCAAACAGCTGTATTGTAGGTCTGATCTGATCGTGTATTCACTTTTTTTGAAAGGACCTTGTGCTCATAAGTATTTGAAACAGGTTTTTAGGGTTACTTATATAACAAGAAATACACTTAAAGGTCTAGCAGTATTTTCAAAGCATTGATGCAATTAGTTCCCACAGATTTCAAAATGAAATCTGTGTAACTGGTTAGATTCTCAGAAGTGCCTTCAGGTACCTCCAGCTACCTGAAGCCTTGGAAAAAATCTAGCCTATAAATGTTTCGAGTGTTTTTTTTTTCCCC